TTCCTGTTCAAAACAATGTCTTCCATTGTGTTGGGTATGAATTGTCAAAATCATAAATATTTCGCCACTGGCTAATTTTTTTCTTAATTTCAATGAAAAGAGGGGAAAGTAAACATTAGCAGCAGCCACATTTCAAAGGAGACAATTCACAGATTTCTAATGGGGGAACTGGGGCCACAGGCATCTGCTTTGGGCACGTCCCCCCGGTAGCTACATCACTGACTCAAGCCAGGGTTAGACATATTCATTTGTTGTTTAACTGCATTTATTATTTAGTTTAACAAAAATGACCATTTAACGTTTTACCACTCTTATTATCACTATTATTAAAATCACTTTGAGAGAGACGGCTAGTCAAAGATTTTTAAGCTACCAGTAGGCAGATATCGCAACTGTCAATGGCGGTCTCCAAGCCTATCCTAGACCAACAGCATGCAATTTTCATTTCCCTGCAGTCCTGTTCCTATTACTACTATTGCTACAGGTATATCAAAAGGGGGATGTAACAGACATGTTTAGACTAAGGTTGTATATTTTCATCGAAATATCTTCTGTCAACGAATATTAAAAAAAAAATCTTTCCTTACGAGCAAGAATAGCTTGAAGTTACAATCATTTCAACATTCCTGAAACCATTTCAGCTCCCTAAGGAGTATACTAGCCTGTACTGCCATTTGGGCTCAAACGGCTAAACAACCCTGTATGTCCTCAAAGGTACCGATTTATTCCTGGCGAGAGGCACGTAGTGGTAGAGTGACTTGCCCAGGATCACAACACACTGCCACCAGCTGGATTCGAGCCCCTGACACCAGCGAAGAAGCATGCACGCAAGAAATATACGCCATATAGGATTGGCAAAAAGGTTTTTTTTAATTTTTTTTTTTTTTTTTTAATGTAGTGATGCAGTTACGAGGAGTCAAAGAAACACCGTAAATAATAAAACCTGCCCGACCGCTAAATAAGGACTTACCGAAATGTAACGACCTTCCACCGGTTGATTGGTCCATGCCCTGTTTACTGCGCAGACAACAGGTGGACGTCACTTAACGAGCACATTTATCACCTTTTGCCACCCTAATCGTTTGTTATTGGTCTTTTCCTTATAACGTTGGTACCATAAATAGCCCTTTCATTTGCAGTGTTTTGACAGACCCAACAGATACTTCGTGGTATTGCTCCTTGGCAGCATTTTGCAACTCTCATAAGCATGTTATTGGTTCGATCTCTTATGATGTGAATGCGCCTCCCTACATCTCGATTCCCAAGGTAGCACCTTTGAAGGATCGGCAGCGCTTCTGCTGAAACGCACTCACCATTGATGGTAATATACTACAGAAATTGTTATAATTACTCACTACACATATTGAATGCCACTTCCCCCGAGGTTATGGTTGAAACTTGATAAGGATTTTGTTATTTGCCAACAGTAGTAATGGTAGTTAGTATAGACCAGTTTGACCTCTGACCCTTGACCTACGTCCAGTGCAGTATAGATCAGATTGACCCCACTTCCGGTCACGTGTGAGTAAGTCACTTGATAGTTTTTTTTTTAGGTTGAGAAAGGTCAGTGGGGTTAGTAGGTCAAAGGTGCGTAGTAAACAGTGAGCAGGTGAGAGGTCGATGGAGATGGTGGGCGTTACCGCGACAACGGTCGAGGAGGTGGAGGGGCTGGTTAAAAAATGAAAAGAAGAAAAATTCCAATCCCTTGAAAAGGTACAAGTAATCTTGAACCTCTGGATTTAGTAGGTCACGTCACATAACTGCTGTTAGATCTTTCTCTGGCTCTATAGGGACGTGTTTATGTCAAACCCTTGCCAAAATGTTACTGAGCAGGATGCGAACTCTGGATTGGTTTATTTTATTATCGGAGATTGCTACAGATTTCAATGTTTGTTCGTCCATATCCGCTTCAATGTGAAAGCTGGCCTGTTTTGTTTTACCTCCGGGTAAAGCTACCCTTTTACCTCAATAAGCTACCCCTTCCCGTGAATAAAATCATGAACTTCTTTTATTGCTATAATAGCAGAAGGAAGAATGCTCAAATAGATGATTAGCAATTCAATCAGTGGTATATTTTTAGGTCTTTTGGGAGGGGGCAATATTTGTTTAATTTTTCCCCTGAAAACAACGGCTCCTCTGTTTCGTCTTCATTGTCCTCCATCACCAACCCCTCCATCCACCAAATAGTCCTGTTTTGAATGTGTCAATCCTTTCAATTCTTTCAAAACTCTAATAATGTCTGGGGAGGGGAAACTTGACCCCTGTCCCTGTCTGAAAACGCCATTCAATGTTATTATCGATCAAAGTTAATATGGTAGGAAGCGACGCATATCAATACCACGTTGTGGAACTGACAACTTTCATCAACCCATTGTTGCAGCTACAAATCTCAACCTCATAAACTGTTTCACAAGGTTTGGTTTTAAATTGGATCAGCACGTTGTTCTTATAAACTGATGATGTTAGATGTAGGCCTGTGTCTCCTATTCCAGGGACTTGTTCGCGTGACTTCCTTGACAACAGGACGTCCTTGCTAACAGGATGCAAACTCTCTGCTTATTCTTCTAAGGGGCTGAAGTCCACATCTGTCCAAATGTTTCAGCTTCTCTAAGTTCGTTGACAAAAGCAGGTCAGTGACCAATTTTGCAGGGGGCAATTTGTTTGAGGGAAACAAAATGTTTATACAGTTCTATGGGGAATGAGAGTTTATTGAAGGGTTTTATCCGCGCTTTCAGCTGCAAGAGAAGGGGATTGGAGACCTTAAATCTTTTTTTTTCTCATCCCAAAACATACAGCCCACATCAGCTTCGAGTTCCAGCACATTTGCCAATCATTTCATTTCTCTCTGTCGCTATTTTTACTCTCAACCTGAACTCTCTAAAATTGTACTCAAAATCTTGAGGGCAAACAACAAGAGGAGATTTTAGGAAATTTGTGATGTTTGTTTTGCCTCTGGAACAGGGTTGTAATATTCATGTACAGTGCAGGTATTAGCTCGTTGACATGAGCGTAAATCCTGGCGGGGATTTGGGGAGTGGGGTAGATGGGCTTTTGACAACCCCCCCCCCCACACACACACGATACGAACGCAGTGTACGAAATGGATTACGTGGACATGCGCCTTCTCTGGCTAAACGATCTCGGGCTATGCCAAATGGGAGCTTCTTGCTAAATCAAGATGCCAAAAACCAAGTGCAAATTGAACCGCTATAAAAACACACATCCAAACACACATTTCTGGGCTTTCTTTCATCGCCCCCAGCACATATTCAACCATTTCCCTGAACTAATCAAAACCATGTGAACTCCACCGTAGTGTTGACCTAGGCTGCAAAGTTTCCGAATCGTGATGGAAGATACATTAAATCTCAATTTATTGGCCCTGCAAGTCTGTTACTTAATCGGGCCTGGCTGAGGTACGTGCCAGAAGTCACTTGGGTGTAAAATCGATCAAGGCGGTTTTGTACAAGCAGTAGTGTAATTAAGGGTCGGGGAGAATTTACCCTCTTGTGCCCCACCCCGAAAGGGGAATGAATGACAGTCTGCCTTAGTCGTCAGTAATTTAACTTTGCGTGCGACCGGATCGAATGCCCCCCGGACCCCCAAAATGAAGGACCCAAGTGCCCCCTTCCACCCACCATGCGCGTTACACTTGCACACTGCGTGTACACGCATGACGAGGAAGGGCAGGAGGTAAACCACAAGGCTTTGTGCAAACTTTAGGCCTAGTTGGGACGCGTTTCCACCCAACAAACTTTTGTGCAGGGCATTTGCCATTCCTGCCACCCTGTAACAGTTTGTCTTCCTGTGTCAGCCATCTTGAATACGGCCGTTTTACAATACTGCGCCACCAAGAGTTTGCAACGCGTTAGCCAATCACAATGCACGAAATTTGTCGACCCAATGCGCGTTTGAAAAGGGTCGACAAATTTCGCGCGTTATGATTAGCCAACGTGTTGCAAAACCTTGGTGGCGCACTATTGTGAAACAGCCGTATTGAAGACGGGGTTAACTCTTAATTTGGGAGACCAGAGCTGATAGCAAAGAGATAACAGTTCATTACACAGTCAGGCTTACGTTTATATTGCAAATTATGTCCACAAGAAAAAATAAAGGTGAAGCTTTGAACGCAATATGGTCTGGTGCTATCCATTGAACAGATTACCTTGAATATGATAGGTTCTGGGATCAACATCGAAAATTGCATCCTCTGAACAATGTCTTTTAAGGAGGAGCAAGCTAGGCAGGACTCTAGTCTTTTCGCCAGTGCTTGGCAAAGTAGCCTATCTGTGCCCTGGTGTGGTGCACAGGGATTTTATTTATTCCTATCATTACTATAGTCTTTTCCTTTATGTTCGATCCACCTTCAACTGCACAGCCATTGTTTATGTTGGGTCCGGAAAGTTCGTTGAGAGTGTTATTGACTGAAATAGAGGCATCAATGAAAAGTGTGATACCGTCGACGATGACTGTGAACAAGTTTTTAGCGAATAGTCCAAATGTTGTGAAGTGGTCATATAATCTTATCAATTTCAGCAATGACGGCAGTAAATTTTATTTTTTAAAAGGACCAGAAGTTGAAATGAACCTGGCACAGTTCTCTACAGGCTCAATATAAGCCCTCGAAGCTGGGACAAAGGGGGCGTTGCCGTTATCTTGATGTTCAGCCGTGCCAGCCCCGACAGCCAGTTTTATATCTCACGGCTATGTGCTGAAGAGATTAACAGTGAGACATTATCGAACTTTTGTGGCCAAGCGATGTTACGGAACATGATTTTCTTTAAAACATGCGGTAAAGTCCTCAGGCACCCGCAGACCGCTAAGCTCCCTCTCGGTTGAAACCACGAGGTTGCCGATATTGCTGGAATCTATCGGCCATTGGGCTGGTGAGTTCGTCGGCAAACGGGTGTCTTTTTCCATTAGGAGATTTCTTTGAACTTCATCGATAAAAGGAAAGCAGGAACTGTTCATTCGTTCTGCCTCAGAAATCCTGATTGGGACATCACACAGATCGCTTGGATTGTAATTACGGCATGTGCTAAAAACATCATGTCGGTAGAGTTAAAGTGAATGAAACTTCGCGGTTCCCCGGCAGAATCATTAATCGGCCACGAAGCATTTTACACGACCTTTAACTTTTACTTGCGAGGAACATCTGACTAAAAATCGGAGCTTTGGACCAGTAATTGGAGCATTCAGTTTGTGTTTTCAGCCATGGGACAATCGTGGCTGAGCGCCGCGTGGTTTGCTACCCTGTTGATGTGTACGTGGTGTGGTAAGTTTGCTCTATACTTTTAATTTTCACTCCCTAAATAAATATGCAAGTTTTCAAAAGGCCAGAAATTGTTTCTGTGGGCTTTTGTTTATAAAGGAACTCTCTGCTTAAATTTAGCTTTGGTGGTATTAAAATGTTTTTGGCATTTTTAAAGTGAAGTACTTTTAGGTAACCCTCGATGTAGTAAGTGTCACCAGTGGCGGACGAATTGTGGTGGTTGGTCCTCAGTTGGCCTTTTATTAGTCTCCATTTGCTATACTTTTATGCGGTCTCTGTGCACTGGTGACGGAAATCGCCTGGTAAGCTTGAACTTCTCCGGATGGAATCCCCAAAAGGGAACAAATCGGAGCTGAGCACAGAAGTTATTTTTTGAGAGAAAAAAAAGTGTATGTCTGTAGACGTCCTCATCGGTGAATGCTGGAGGGGGGCGTACGTCCACGGTCACCTAGGCCTATGCTGCTGGACCGTGGAACACAAAAACTGATTTTTTTTGTTTGTTTGTTTTGAGGAGAGAGATATTTTGCGACTCTTCCTCAATCTTCTTCTTCGCAGGGAGATATGGTATATTACCGAAAGCAATTTACTTTTTAAAATTATTATTATTTTTATTTACTCTTTTACACAACACGCTGGGGGAAAACCGACTCGAATAAAGGCTATAATCGTGGGTCAGGAGGATTATCAATGGAAGTGAAGTTCGAGTTGCGGACAGATTCCAGGCATGAAGACTATAGTCTCTTCTCAAGAACCGTAGGAAAGTGCATTTTGTCATGTACCCACCCAACTGTGTTAAAAAAGGAAAAAAGACTAGCGGCAGACTGTTACTGTACTTATCTGTAGGCCTACACAAGCATGTTAAGTCGTATCATGCGAATGTCTGAATAAAATGTAGTCATTAATCTGATGAGCATGATATTTCTAGTTGAAATCAGAATTTTTCTGGAAATCAAGGTTCCCTCGTAAACATTTTTACCTTTACTCCCTATGTTTACACACAAAGCTTCTGTCAGTGCACGGGTAAGTCCGTAAGTCAACAGGGCTTTACCTCATGATATCAACGCGATAAGCTCTCGTTTTATCTGCTAAAAGATTGTAAAATTAGGTTTATGCCTACAGTAATTAATTTGATACGTGCGAAGCACAGGAAGGACTTCAAGTCCTTCCTGTGCGATCATTTCACACAA